TTAGCTAACTTCTTCAAAATGGGTCGACCCACCGATGTGGAGACACCCAACACCAAGAAGAATGAACAAACGGGTACATTTCACCTTCAATGTGTCAATTGTTGACTTATATGATGATTTAACCTTCATGAAAAGTTATCAGCGCTTTAATAAGATGTTTGCCATTTCTTTCTCTCTCTCTTCCATCTTTTTATATAGCTGCTTCCAAGAAAGTCATCAAAGCAAAAGAATGTGCCATCAAGCCCAAAGCCCCTGCGGTGGATTCACCAGCAGCTACCACCCCTAAAGAGAAGAACAGTGAAGAACAGAGCAAGAAGACGGCCACCTCGCTGATCCTGTTTGAAGAAGTGGATGTTATTTTCGACGATGACTCAGGGTTTCTAGCTGCCATCAAGACTTTTATGACGACTACAAAGCGGCCAGTTATCCTCACCACCAGCGGTGAGTAGAAGCAGAAAGGTCAAATGACTCGCAGTTTGCTCTGTGTTTATTTTTATTTACGCTCTGTCGGGACTTCTGAGTTCAAATCTAATCCTGCCGGTTTTGTAGATCCTGCTTTCAGCTCCATGTTCGATGGCGACTTTGAAGAGATCATTTTCAAAACACCCTCAATGGTGAGTGGATGATTTCTAAACCTTGTTTTTTTTTTTGGCTTATTGACTGAATGTGGTGATTTTCTTTATTCTACTAATTCATCCAAAAAAGAAAATATATCATTCATACACACAAAGATAAACAAAATTAGTAGAAGCGGGAGGGCTGAAGCATAGCTTATGGGAAGTAGCCCTCCCGTGAATCATCCTAATATAACATTGGCATTATTGCGTCAAAAACTTATAGAAATTAAGGAGTACAAAGAATAAAGAAACTGGGAAAAAATTTATAAATGCATATATATATATATGAATATATGGGTCATTTTCTGCACATGTCAATAGCAGTTGACTATCTTTTTTGAAAAGGAAAATACTATATATAAAAATATATATTGTACACATGTACTTGGCAAATAAATAATAATAATATATGCATATAATAATATATGAATATAAACATTGTGAACACTTATTTTCAAGTTACTTTTTTTACATTCATATGTTCACACATACACAGAATATACATAAGCACCATATGTTCAGGTGTATAAGTACACAAATGCACTCATATACACCAATACAAATATTACAAGGCAATTTCTAGGGCTGAAATAATAATTCAACCGCATAACGATGAAAAGAAATAAGAAGGAAAAAAATAATAAAAAAGTAATGTAAACAATATTAAATAAATAAACAAACTGGTAAGTTATTACTAAAAAAATTAATTGATTCTGGGAATACCCAATATTTGTTAGCTGGAGTAATCTGCAAATATATATTTTTTGATTTGATTGATGCAAATAAAGTATGAGAGGTCAGAGGTATGTAGTGTTTGTGCACCAGTCAGTTATGCATTGGTCCTTCTCTCCCTGGTGCAGTTGGATGCGAGCAGCTTCCTGCAGCTGTTGTGTCTGACGGAGGATGTGAGGACAGACGTCCCGGACATCAGCGCTCTGCTCAGACTCAACGGATGCGACATCAGGCAGAGTTTACTGCAGCTGCAGTTCTGGATGCGCAGCGCAGGAGGCCGCCACCTGACCAGGCCACTGACACACACTGGCAAAAGTGGTGAGCTCTATTTATTTCGAGTGTGTCAAAACATCATTAATCTTTCTTCTTGATCAGGAGGGAGATAGGCTTTTCCATCCCTTCTGTATAACTACCTATTCTGCACTCACCGCCTAAAATCGTTTAAATCACTCGCAAAGCAATAAACTGATTAGCTACAAACACAAAGTAAAATAGAACAGAAGAGCTTTTCTGTTGACCAAAGTCTAGACTTACAACCAAGCATTTGCTACCATGGCCTGAGTTGAAGGTCCCAATCCGCACAGCAACAGGTCTTTTATTGATTTTTAGATTTGAACTGACTTGTATTGTTTCTCCGTGACAGTTTTATATTTAGTATTTTTTTACAGCATAATTGGATTTCTATCTCTCTTGTCATTTTGTAAACCGCTGTGTAGAAAAAGTGCAATACAATAGAATTTGTTATCATTTTTATAAACGACTTTTTTTAACCTGATGTTATTTTTCCGCCTCATTCGCAGAGCTAAAGCCAGAGGCTGATGAAGAGGCGGCAGGCGTGACTCTCCCTCCCTGTGAAAGCGGCTGCACAGAGAGCATGCTGGGTCTTCTGAATGTGGAGCCTGAGCGAGACATGTGGGAGCTGCTCAGGGTAAAACATTACATTACCACAAACACTGCTTAGATGAAGAACATGTACCAAGTTGAGTCCTTGATTCACCCTGTATGTGTTGTCAACAGGTCCGGGCGAGGAGACGTTACGCTGGGAGCTTCTGACTAACTGCAAGCATCGAGGAGTGGACCTGCTCTATTCCAACATGGAGACTCTCTTACCTCTACCACACACACAGCTGACTACCTCCACATACAAACCGGAGCCATCTGTCTCTGCAGCACAAGAACATCCTGCTGATCCAAAAGAGCTGCCATCACATACCAGGTTACTACAAACCTCAGAGTCTGCAGATTGCTCCGAAGACAGCAGTCCAGTGAAGATGTCCAACAGAATGAAGAAGAACAAGAAGCGGCACTGTCTACCTGAAAGGGACGGACTGAACTCCGACTCGGAGTCAGAAGACGATTTTCTATCCCTCTGCAAGCCGCAGGGCGCTCCTCAAGCGAAGGAGGAAGTCAAGGAGACTTTGGTTTCCCAGAAGGTGAAGAGAAAGCCTCTGACTCCTGAGGAGCGGCTAAAAAGTCTCCCCGTCTCGCAGTGTCTAGACTCAATAGCTGACTTTTTCGACAACATGTCGTACATGGACTCCTTGCTTGTTGGGGTGACGAGCGCAGAAATATGTCCTCGCTGGGAGCGGTGCTGAAAGACGGGATGACCGAGGAGTCGCGGCTGGAGTCTGACAGAGAGAGCTGGATGAGAGCAGAGCGCATCATGGAGATCTCTGCCGCTGTGGAGGCTCTGAGCTTCAACAGGTGTCGGGCCGCAGCAGTGGAGACCTGGAGGAAAGCCCAGCAGCTGCAGGGGGAGCTGGGAGAGCAGGCGGCGGCAGAGCTCACCCTGCCTGTAGCTGCTCATTGTGAGGGTTACAGCTTCACCCAGGACGGCCCCTGTCAACCACAGTGAGTGATGCTTGTCATTTCACCGTTTTACATCAACTTTTTATAAACTAATGCACTGTGGCGTAGGGCTGTGCAATTAATCGTATTTTAATCTCGATTTTGGCTTGCAACGATTACGAAAACAACGTAATCGAAATAAAACGATTATTATTTTTATTAAAAAAAAAAAAAATGTAATTATTTATTTTTTTTATTTTTATTTTTTATTGGTTTTTCAGTTGAATTATACTTAAAGTTCAGGGTAATCAACTGTTAAAAACATACTATTCAATTTTTCTTTTTCAATAAATGGATGTTTTCAAAGTAAATGGATAATTGTTTAATCGCACAGCCCCACTGTGGCGTAGTCAACATGGTCAAGGTCGACATTGGTCACTGAATGAACAAATTCTAACCCCAACCAGTTAAACCTCTGAGCCCTAAAGCTAACCCTGAACCCTTTTCACAAAAATATACAACTCTTTATGGAAACAGCTAAATAACAGCTAGAAATGGGGATATCTCAAAAATGTCTTTAGTGCAGAATAATAGTTGTAATGCCATAAATCATAAAAATAATAAATACAAATGTTTCACTTTGCCTTTCCCAAATATTGAGATCTCACCATGTCTAAAGTGTATAACTATATATTTGTAAAAGCTATACTTGCATCCTCTCGTTTCCTCCCATCTTTGCTCCGGGTAATCTTATATGTTGTTACTTCTCCTGCTGAAGTGCTTGTCTCCAAAGATTAGTTCAGGGACATCTGTTGATGTTTTTAAAATGTCTTGATATGATGTGTTATTTAACTTATTTTTGTGGGGAAAAAATAAAAGATTATTTTCAAAGCTACAGAAGGGGTTGCGGGGCTCATAAGGACCAGTTAAGATAAGATATACTTAATTGTTTTGGGCTTCAACGCCACAATGTAACCATAGACTCATGCATAAGAAGTTCAAAGGCTGATAAAGTGTTTCGATGTGTTCCAGGATGGCCCAGCGGAGGAGGGAAGTGATGGACAGTCTGATGTTCAGAGGAGTTTCTGGTACTCTGGGAAACAGACCAGCCGCTGCTCTGGATTATTTACCCGCCCTCCGCACCGTCTGCAGATCAGAGCAGCTGAAGGAGCAGGGCAAGGTTAAACGAAGGTGAGCATGCAAAAACAATAATAAGCTATGTACTTGGCCAAAAGCACTAGGGTCTGGGTTTAAAGCATGGATGTATTTTAAGAACTGAATACGACGGAGGTAGGGCCTCATTCAGTCCTATGAGAACTGCTCCGGCTCATGAAGACAAAATGGCCTGACGCTGTTGAGAGCAAAACCTCACAAATTACCCATCATGCCTGGCTGTCGAGAGCACAAATACCCGTATGCGCGCTCATAGAGCATGCACAGTTGAGTTTACCATTAAGCCCCGCCTCTGATCTCCCGCTCTCGGCTCAGTAGCATGAATGGAGAGAGAAAATAAATCTAGATTCAGCTTTTAGCGTATTTTACAACTTTTAAACTTAATGATATAAATAAGGGCTATAAAAGTGTTCTAACTGGGTTGTTTATTTAGTTTAAAAAAAAAATGATATACTGATTTACAGATGTCTCTTTCCCAATGTAACTCAACGGGAGAAAGTGTTTTTGGGCCCAGTGACGTCACGGACTGACACAAGTTACTGCTGTTTAGGCCACTACGAATATTTGCCTCGGTGTCCGGCACACTTCCTGGGGGCTTGGTTTAAAGTTATGATGTAGGATTTGATTTTGACACAAAGTGCATATAACTGACGGACTACAAATACATGTGTTAAAGTGTAAACAGAAGACTAAGCAGTTTTTTCCCTCCTCTAGGTTCCTGCACTACCTGGAGGCGATCAACCTCGGTCTAGACAAGAGAACTCTGCAGCTCCTGGCTGAAGACTTCCCCTGAACCACTGAGGGGAAAGCTCCATATGAATTGGCTATTTAATTGGAACACTTTTGTTTTTTGTGTCTGCCCCTTTGTCTCTTATGATTCGGACCTGGTCAGAGGTGTGTGCGCACAATGGATGCCGGGTGAGGTTTCCACATATGTATTCCAAGATGGAAATGACTGAATCACTGAATACAGAACATGTATTCTCACCTGAAGGGCGCACAGCTAAATCACCTCAAATGTTGTCACATCTTTAGAATGCACTAAAGAGTTCTACTTTATAAATGTTTGTAATATTAAGCGGTGTGTTTTTGTACAGTTGTGTTTTATTCGTAGAAGCCTCATTTATAATTTTCTTTTGGAAATTGCTTTTGAGGCGCAAATATGTTTCATTGAAGATTTGTATTGGATTCACATGTAAAATAGAGGTTGTAAAGGATGGTATACATTGTTATTCTCCACACAAGTTCACCTACATCACCTTCACACAGTGACTTTTTTAATTTGTTATTTTTTGCTTGTTTTTTAACCTTAAATATGTACACATTCACAGTGGATTTTTGTTGTGACCAAATAAAGGTTTATAACAACTCAATAAATAGATCTCTGTATGTGCTTGAGGTGAGATGATACAGTCAACAACATGTTTCATGCACTGGTCAATTGTTAGTGTTAGAAAATGGAGAAAAGTCATTACAATTACATTATTACATTTTTGTTTTACTAACTTCGTTTATTTGCGTCTTTAAATCTTTCCTAAAATCGCCAAAAGTCAGCTTTAGACATGCATTTGCATATATAAATATAACATTTCCGAAAGCTTGCAATGCAAACATTTGTTGTCTTAATACAACTAATGAACTGCAAGACTTTCAAGAAGATGAGTATTTTTAACTTTATTTCTCCGAATTAGTTTTTTCTCATACTTTTTGAGGAAGAAATCTCCACCAAAATAGCACAAACTTTCCAGCTCCATTTCTATCTATATTCTGAAGGTTTTGTTCATACAGTACATCTTTTAAACCCTTAATTATTGAACATTTGCTTCATAAAAACATGGCTGTTGATAGTATTTTCTGATCTATGTATACAAAAAAATTCCTTCTGCAAAAAAACGTCCTAATAATTCAACAAACTACAGTAAAATGTTTAACCTATCTTCATCAAATGTTAAGATGTTTGACAAGATAACAATTTCTCATTTACATGTTGAAAATATCAGATTAAACTAAAAATAAATCAAGTTGGTAAAGTTCATGGTACTTTAGTTACACGTACAAACTTCACTCAGTCTACGGTTAAAGGTGTTACTCTATTGTCCTGCAGTGACTCCTGGGATGATTCAGTGAGACTGAACGGTGGATGGTATTTTGGAGGCAGGCTCAAATGGTTTATTACGCTAAATGCGCAAAGCCTGTAAATTCACTGCAGTGGTTTGACCGGTTTCCGCAAAGACTCGGAGAGATAATCTATTAAAGGACAACCCCCAGTGACAGAAAGGTAAACAGGTCTGCACCTGCTTCGTGTTTTAACATTCAAAACGTTTCTTATCTGTCACATGTTCCAGTTTTCAGATGCATTTTGCCGCGCGTAAAACCATGTGAGCAACATGTTTAGTTTAGAAAACGCGATTCTTTGTCGAAATTTAGTCGAGACCGTGACCTTATACCAAAATGGCAAACCATGAGCGGAACAAAAATATTTTACTGGAATTTATAAAGCTGCCGGACAACAGCCGGTGCGCGGACTGCGGGGCTCCTGGTAAGCAACATGTCACTGTTATATTAACACACATTACACACAGATTTTTTATCTATATTATAAGCTTATTTCAAATATTTAAATGTAAGATGCACAGAGCCAACACCCTTTAGATAAGAAGAAAAAAAGTAAGCTTAAATCTGATATTTCAAAGCTACAGTTGTGTTATTGTCAGGTGACTGATTTATGTAAATGCAAACAAGGCTGATTTACCAACCAGGGAAAGTGGGCAAAAGCCACTGTTGTGGTAGTTTGATTTACTCTAATGTTGTATGGGAAAATGCACACTGATGCATGATGTAAGTCCACGTGTAGCATACAAAATAAAGTGTCGTGCATAAACCACTTTCTTTTGTTCATTCAAGTACTTGATAGTAATAATATCTTCATAACATCAGAATCTTAAAAAAAATAAAACCACAATACAGCTTAACACATGTACAAGATGTAAAACATGATAAATAGATTACATCAGTTAAGAAAACAATAAGATGAAGTATTAAGAACAGATTTAAAAGACATAGGCTATTCCAGTAAAGAAAAACAGCGTAAAAGCCAGGACAATCTGGCCTTGAGTGTTTAATGTTAGTCCCACTTCTTCTGCACACCTCAGATCCAGAGTGGGCTTCCTCCACGCTGGGTGTGTTTGTGTGTCTGAACTGCTCTGGCATCCACCGCAGCCTGTCCAGCCGGGTCAAATCCATAAAGCTGGACTTCTGGGATGATAAGATGGTAGAGGTATGTCCCCCTGCCTTTCTTTTCAAATGATTGCTCCAATAAGATATTCATTCTTCAGGTGAACTGGCTCTATCCAAGTGTAACCTTCAGGTGTGTCTTTTTTATTAAGTTCATGAAGTCCAATGGCAATGCCAAAAACCAAGCTTTGTACGAGAAAGCTGTTCCACCATACTACTATCAGCCCAAGGAAAGTGACTGTGTGTAAGTAACTTTTTACAAAAACTGTCTTAGAAATGTAATATTTTATTATGTGTGCCAAGTGCTGACAATGCAATGCCATAACAATAGTGCAACTCACTGTAGAAGATGCATTTCTGCTGCTAATTCAAAGCGTAATGATTCATTTCCTTGTAGTGATACTGCAGCTTATAATAGCCACTGTTTGTAGAAGTGTGTTTTCTCTGTCTAAAAATATTTGTATGTCTGTCTCTTGAACCGCAGCGTCTTAAAAGAGCAGTGGATTCGGGCTAAATATGAAAGGATGGAATTCACAGGAGAAACCAAGTATCCACCACTATCTTACACCACAGGTGACGTTTCCACAGATTCAAACACACGCCTACTGCAGAACAAAAGCTTATCAGCCTGTTGTCGTTACACTACAATGAACAATATGGTTCCTCATGCACATGCAGAACCGTGCAAGAAAAACCTGTTCTTTGCATTACAAAACAGCCAGGAAGTGAGAGCTGGACAGAGTTTTTTTATATGTTTACCTGACCAAAACTTTAATAATTTTAAGACCCGGGTGTATTGCCTCATCTTTGACCCTGTACACTTTTTGTTTTTGTTTTATTACCAGGTTTCTATGAAGGGATGCTTTGGAAGAAAGGGAAAGGGAACACACAGTTTCTGAAGAGGAAGTTCGTACTGTCAGAGAGAGAATTTACTCTGACCTACTACAACAAGGAAAATGTGTGTTTCCTGCAGCTCTTACACATTTAATCTGCACTGTATGCCATACATAAAACCACTATTTTAATATATCTTACATGTGTAATCTAAAAGCATTTGTATTGATATAATTTCTTCCAATTTAAAGGAATAGATTGGCTCTTTTTTAAGAGGGCTTGAGTTATCTATAGGCAGTGTAATATCTACAGTAGATTGCAGTCGGCACTTTGGTGTATTCGTACTAAACCTTTAAAACAACAAGTCACTTAACAATACAAACAAACAACCTTAGTTCCTCATAACGCCCTACTTCAAAAAATCGGAACTATCCCTTTAACCCGCAGTGAAGTGCTTCAGGCTAAATGCTAACATTCTCAGGCATGGTTAGCATGCAGATTTTTAGCAGGTTAAATGTTTACTTCTCAGTTTGGTGTTCAGCATGCTATGGTTTGCTAATTTGCACTAAAACAAAGTACAGCTGCGTTATTACAGTCCAGACCAAAATGTAGGACTGGCCTGGCTACAGCATTGCCATCACTAATATCGCAATTTCTATCAAATGAGTTGCGTTTTTATTGATCAAGGTTTTCTATCCTTACTACTAACTCTGCACATCTATTTGTGATCCAGGAGTCCAAAGGCCCTAAAGCTTTAATCTCCATCAAGGACATAAATGCCACTTTCCAACCAGAGAAGATTGGTCATCCCAATGGGCTGCAGATCACCTACCAAGACGACGATCACACCAGGAACCTCTATGTCTATCACGAGAGTCCTCAGGTGGGAATGCATAATCATCTAAAGCATAAATAACAGTTGCCAGAAATGTTTGTACTGATTTTTAAAAGCTTAGTGTCTGTGCCTTTACTCCAGGAAATAGTGACATGGTACAATGCTATTCGTGCTGCTCGCTATGCATACCTGAGGACAGCGTACCCCACTGGAAGGGATGCAGAAGTAAGCATCAAACCTTCTCAAAACCATAATGACTGACAAGATGATTCACATTAACATGCATGAAAAAACACACTAAATGCAGTGGAAATCAATGGCAATAAAGACACCTTTTTGCCTCTTTTTGCTTTATGTTTTAAAGCTTAACACACCATTTTGTCTCTCTGTCAGCTGATACCAAAGATAACAAGAAACTACCTCAAAGAGGGCTACATGGAAAAGACAGGGCCATTGGTAAGTTGGTAAAGAACCAAACATTAAATATAAATATGATTTATTTGTACATATATATTGTCAGCACTTGAAAGCAGCTTTGACTTACGCATGCAATGAGAAAAGCACTCAAGGCACAGTCTTCACTAGCAGAGTTAGTTGTGTTGTTAGTGACAGTAGAAACACAATGAGAGGGTTTTTTGTTCCTCTTACATACTCACACAAATCACACAGAAAATGTAATTATCTCTTTTGTAAGAATGGATATAAGGAGCTATGGAATTGAAGCTTGGGCAGAAAATGTAACAATTTACCCAGTACATTTTCTTGTGAAGCATTACATGTTTTTTTTTAACAGCAAAATGAGCCATTCAAAAAGAGGTGGTTTGTTTTGGACTCTCAAAACAGGAAGCTTCTACTTCAAAGGCCAGCTGGTGAGGAACTCTCTTTATAACCCAATACTTTCTTTAATGATGTTTGTCAAGCACTTGAAACAACCTTTATGTGTGTCTTGTTTTCATCACTGTGAACGTAGGATGCAGAGGAGTTAGGGTGGTTTTCATCGGCACAGAGAAGAAAGGTTACGCTGTGAAGGAGTGTGTCCCAAAGCATGCTCAGGGAAACAAGTGGAAGTGGGGTGTCATGGTGGAGACGCCCAAGCGACAGTTTGTCTTCATGTGCGAGCAGGACAGGGAGCAGAAGGAGTGGCTGGACGCCCTCAAACAGGTCCTGTCCAGACCCATGTCTCCACTGCACCAGTAAGCAAGGCCAGAAAATAATAAGCTAAGAGAAGCCTTTATTGATCTTAGAGGAACATTTCAGGTTGTACAGCTCCAAAATGACAGAAATAAGTACAGTAAATGAGAAAAGAATACAGGAATACATAAAATATACAAATGGTTTAATTGAAACTTTAGCAATTAAAGGAACATTTTGAAAAACTGAGGCCTGACAAGTTAAAGTAACGAGGTCAAGTGTCAGTTGGTTAATAAAAGTAAAAATACTGGTAATATAATAAAATAATAGTAAAACAGTGTAATTACAGTGCAGTTGTGCAGTGTAGTGACGTTGCCATGCACAAATCCATGCTACTAATGTGCTTAATACAAAATAAAGAGTTACTCAGTAGTTTGGTTCCTGTTGCAGGTGGTTTTCTAGTCAACCACTGCATTAATCATTCATGTGCACTGCAGTTAGATTATGCTCTAATGTTTTGCTTTTTTTCTCATTCCAGTTGAAGCCAACCTCAAGTATAAAAGATGAACTACAGACATGTATGTGAACAGAATCTCAGGAGGAAGACTGCAGGGTTTTAAATCACTTTCAAATACTGCAGTGATCTGCTGTACCTGGGCCGTATCAGCACTGATTTATTGCTCTGTAGAACTAGTGTCACTTGTTATGACCCTGGGTCATTATTTCATTTGTGTGCGGATATTTTTCCCTCCTCCTGTGAGAGTCTGTGTGGCTGTGTGTGTGTGAGTGAGCAGGTGGTGCCCGTTAGCTGATTGGCTGCCTTCGACAGGCTGATTGGTCCACCTGAAGAGACAGGAGCATTTAAGCTGCTGCAGCCACCAGTTCCTCTGCCCTCTCTTCTCATCATCGACCTCCTCTACTCCCAACTCCGTGTCTGTTGTAGAAAACCTGATCTATTGTTCTGTGTGGTTAAATCGAATGATTACCGGTCCTTTTGTACATTTTGGTATCTTTGTAAAGATAAGCTAATTTAATCTGTCTTGAAAGACACTCTTTGCTTTGCCCAGGAGTGCGAAACCCTTTTCTTTTGTTCAAATCCTGTTTTCTCCTGTTTTCGTTAGGTTAGGTAAGAAGCCTGTATTTTATTTTACTTATTTTGTTAGGCAAGATTTATGTATGCCCAGGGTTATTTGTTTATGTGGGTCGTCTCGCCTCCTTTAAAAACAAACAGGTAATTAAAATGACCAAAGGCATTTTTCTGTCTCATTGTCCATTTCTTGGGAGTGGGAAGAGTGGGGAGAGTGCCATTTTGTGCTGCGCCTAGGTTCCCCTAGACCTGGGCGCAGCACACTTCAACTGACGCCAGATCTGATGCTTCATCTGAGACTTCAGGAAATACTGTATCATTATGTGAAAATCCACACTTATGATCAAAAACCGTTGACATGAGATGAACACATATTTATTGTATCATGCTATTTTTACCATGTGATGTTTTTATGTTTCTTATTTTCTTACAAGCATATACTGTAATATAACATTACATATTAAACACATTCAATTACCTAATTCCATGATTTGTTTTACCTTTTTTAACAAACAGCAGTTAGACATGTTTATTGAAGCATCCATGAGTTGAGCAACACTTTTTTAGTATTATATTATTATAATATATTATATTATATTATTGCAAATGGAACTTATTAAATCATGATAATGTTACTATACTTTGTCTTGAACTTTAGTGCAATGATGATTGAAACATGTTTATTATTATTGACATAAATGTTAGCTGCTCAGTGAATCTGTTTACATTTGCTATTTATTCTGATGTTTAGTAAATGTTCAGAGTTAAATTAGATTAGATGCATCCATAAACACAACACACATGTCCATTAATACCAATGTCCAATAATACACAACAAATGGAGAAAAACAAGACAATAACAAAAATTTAATCCGTTTAACCAGACATGCAAGAAGACAAGACAAGTGTGTTTATAAAATTAGCACATTACTCATTATACCAACATTAATATATATATAAAAAGGATTACCCAACTACTCCCTGATGAGAATATCCATGTTGAGTCTTTTGTAGACTTTATGAAGACAGAACATGACATAAGTAAAACATAAATAAATGCGTAAACACATGAATAAATACAGGAATACAAAAATACAAGAATAAAAAAATGTGCAAAAAAACTGAAATAAATAAATGTAATAAATACAACAAAAAATAAATAAATAAGGAAATAAATAAATCAATGTGTAAAAAAAAAAAAAAGTTGAGAATAAAACAGAACACACATTATTATATATCTTAATGTATTTCTACATTTATATTTAATTTCTGTTGTTTTGCTTGGTAGCCTTGTATTCTGTGGATACGACAACATTTATAACAAATGTACTTTCAATGCTCTGAAAGTTACAAGTGCACGTATCTTTAACAATATCTTTGAGTTGCTATAATAATATTTAATTTATCTTCAGAGCCAGTTATAAATGTTTATGAGCGTCAAAAATTGTGTTGCTATTAAAGGTTTTGCTATTACCTAAAACTCAATAACAGGATTGTAAAGTATGGGATTTGAGACATCTTTGCCTATGCACCACTGCATAAGAAATCACGAACAGATGCAGCTCCTCTATTTGGCACAAGAGAGCAGCATAACGCGATTTTCATCCAGCTGAAGTTTGTCCTGTCTGGCTTGCTGTAGTTGCCCGGTGTTGGAGGTCGGACATTCCCATGTAACATCCACTGCGAAATGCTATACAAGCGCCGAAAAGACTGTGATTAACGTGAAATTACAGAGACATGTGGCACACACTGGTCTCTGAATGACATTTACTCCCGAGCTGAACAGTCGTTCGTTAATAAGAAGCGCGTAGAAAACACGGAGGACCTCCAAAAACTGTCCGTCCGTTTTGTCCTACAAAGGAGAGTTTGACAGGACTTCAGTGCGCGGGCCTGCTGCTAGAGGAGGACGCTATCCAGAGGACTTCATGAGACAATAAACACTGTCCTTTCTGTTGAGGGAAGCAAGAGAAAACATGAGGAAGGACGTGAGGATACTGCTTGTGGGGGAACGTAAGTAGTCTTTAATCCAGAAGCTGGTGAACGCTTTATTAGCTAACATGCTAGTGAGGTAGCTAGAGGCTACAGCTAGCAGATGCACCCAGTGAATAGATAGATAGATATTTAGGAAATACACATGGTGATGGGTTATTATTTGTCACAGCAGCATTTTGACAGCAAATCTTCAGGAATTCAGAAAAAAAATCTTAAGGATAGACATTAAAATGTAAAAGCAATATATACACATTATCAGTCAAACATACCTATATTCAGAGGAGTATCTAAACATTATAAAATATACAGAATACATGAGAATACTCTATAATATGCCAATCTACTGAACATATTAAACATAGTGTACTAAATACATGAAAACACACTGTGTACAATATACTAAAACATGTGAGTATATGTGCAGTGAGTGGATGTTCTGCCTTCAAATCACACATTTAGTGACTGTAACCTTTCCAAAGACTTTGATAAGAATACATATCGTGAGCTTTGGTTTCTGTCTGCTGTTTCCAGTTTAGTATCTCACAGTGCATCATACCTTATCACGAGTGTTTCCATGTGCTGCCATATCTCAATAAGCTACTTCTCATGAGCAGACATTATCTCATGTTCAGGCTGTGGGAAATAACAATTATCCCAGGTGTAAATGCTTTACAAAGGCACTTAATATGATAAGCAGTATGCAGGTGGTATTTATTACTAGCCTGCTGTGTAATTGATTTAGATTGTATAAACAAGAACATAAATATAGTGAAAGGCAAGTGAGAATAAGATATGATATCAGAATAAGTTAATTTCTGCAGTATTAAATTAAAGTAATACTGGAACCAGGGCTAACATTTAATCCCGTTTTCAGTCTTTAAAACGTCAGAAATGTACTAAGAATCATAGTGTTTTCACAATTTGTATTTCATTCATTTCATATCCATATCCAGTAGTCCAAACATCCAAATTATACTGGATGCAGAATATTGGGTTTTTGTTATTACAAGATCTTAACTTTCCCCAGGACCTCGGTGTGAGGGCAGAGTAAAACCATAAAGGCAATACACTCATCGTTAAATATATCATATCACCTGGTCTGTTTGTTGTCTTGAAAGCGTGTGTTGTCAGTATTATTTATTTAAGTTAAGGCTATGCCTGATGCCTGACTTTGTCACATAAGGCGAGTTGGTACTGACTGTTCCTGAAAAAAGGAACGCTAAATAATATGTGCCTTCGCCAGAGTTGTAAAGTTCATCAGAGTCTGTGGGGTCACAGATCTGTGAAGACACTGAGGGACCAGAGGTGCTGCAACCTGGGGCTTAAAGGGATCCATTTCCTAATTGATCAATCTGACGACCATTTGTTCAATTCATTGTTTGCTCTCTATTGTGTTATCAAATCATAAAAATACCCTTTCAGTTCCCAGGCACCAAGACGTTTTCAAACTGATGTTTATTATCTAACCAGCAGTCCAAAAATATAACTCCAAAACATTACATTTCCAATAATAATAGAAAAAACAGATATCATCAAGATAATTAGAGTGATAGACTAATTGGATAATCAATGAATAGTTTAAATACAATCATTAAATACAAGACATGGCAACTTATGAATGTTATTATGTTAGAATATGTATGTTTTATATATCTATATAGTGATTACATTGTAAAAGAGTTGGATGATTTGTTGTTTGATTGCTCTTTTTTTCTTTTCTTTTACTAGCATTTGTTCTGGTGTAGAAAGAAGCTTATTCTAGGTCATTTAAAAGAGAATGTTGTGAAGTGTTGATGACAATTATGAGTAAATGTGGAGAATTCACTTAAAAAATTCAATTCAAATGAGTTACTTAGAATACTAGTGCAACTCTTAGTCTAATCTTTCTACCATAGGCTTACTCTCAGACTGTATTTCTCCACCATGTGTTGTTTCCTTGCTCTGAGCTGGAATTCAGTGAATGCTTTTTGGGAACCGATGCACTCGGCTTCAGCTCTGACCCTGCTTCAGCTGCTCTGGTCTGCGCTCTGTTACTTAACACATTACCCAGAGCACTCAATACAAATGGAAGAGAGGTCACATGACCCATTCATAAAGTCAAAGATGTATGTAATTCCAGATTGTAACGACACATTTCTTTGTCCTTCGTCTGTACAGCCAAGGTGGGGAAGACATCGCTGATCATGTCTCTGGTCAGTGAGGAGTTTCCTGATGAGGTATGTAACAACAGGAAATCAGGGGATGGATACCGTTGAAATCATTTATGCTGCATCCTGATCAAATAATTTGGGCTGGACGGTTCTACTGTAGATTTGACTGAATGTTATTTGGTGATGTCAGAACCATGAGGGTAAAAAGGAGAACAACATATGTTATATTTTTAGATGTGTGTTTGTTGTCAGAAGAATTAATCGTGTTTTTCTATCTCCCAGGTTCCTCTTCGAGCTGAGGAGATCACCATCCCAGCTGATGTCACCCCAGAGAGGGTGCCCACACACATTGTGGACTATTCAGGTACATCTCCCACCTATCACACACATGGGCTGCATGTCTGATATTTTTAATAATCCCTACCGAATATAATCTGAGTAATAGATTAATTTGGTAACGGCACAGCTTGATTACATATATATGTACTGTACTGATGTGTCCTTTTTGACACCTTATAGAGGCAGAACAGACAGAAGAGCAGTTGTTCCAAGAAATATCAAAGGTATGTTTGACCTAATTCTCACTTTCATCTGTTTAGTAATGCCTGAACACATTATTGATATTGATATTTGTCTTTACAGGCCAATGTTATCTGCATAGTTTACGCAGTTAACAACAAGAAGTCCATTGAAAAGGTGAGCATGGCGTCTTTCTTAACTCTGTAGAGTTAATCAAATACATAACTGAAGTATTTCTGGAATTTTAAACAAGACAAGCTTTTTCTAATCATCGTAGTCTGAGAAAATAAACATGTGTTTGTGCCGCTGCAGTGTTTGATGTTGTGCTTTACTCCTCTAGGTGACAAGCCACTGGATCCCTCTTATAAATGACAGAACACAAGGATAGCAGGTGTGTGTTCAGCCATTTTAATAGATGTGTGTTTGTCTTCCTTGTGGTTCACTTCATTGCAGACTTGAAATCAGAGTGCTGGGAGCTAAGGATTTTGAGATTATTGTCCAAAAGAGGGTTTATCATTGTTGAGCTAATACTGACTTAACTGCATGCCGCCCTGTAAAATATAGAATCATTAGTTCTGTTTTGCCAATGCTAATTATTATAAATTAAATTAATGAATACAGATTAATTTGATGTGTTGTTTAAAGATGACGTTTTTTTATTGATGATTTCAAGGTAATTAAAGCTAATATGCGGTATTATGACAACATATTCTAGTAGGGCTGCTAATGACTATTTTTAATATAAATTATTAACCATTTTCTCAATTGATTAATGATTTTTCTATACAATTCCATAAGTACATTTTGTCAAACCAACAGTTCAAAATCCCCCAAAAACCATTCTCATTCATATAAAAAAGGGAAAATCAGCAAATCCTCACTCTGGAGAGGCGAGCCAGACAATTCTTGGCATTAAAAAAGCTGCCTATAATTTATTCTGTCAATTAACTAATTGTTTAATCGACCTATGGTGCTGGCTGTATAATGTAGTTATAAATACTTTCTCTGCAGAGTACCACTGATCCTAGTGGGGAACAAGTCAGACCTGGTGGAACACAGCAGCATGGAGACCATCCTGCCAATCATGAATCAATACCAGGACATCGAGACATGTGTAGAGGTAAGACATCAATACACACACACAGATAAAAACCTTTTGGGTTCATTGGGGTAGGGCTGTGTGGATGTCCCACTCAGTTAAATATCAAAGAAAGTACTTTGATGAAGCACTTAAGAGCGATTAATTGGCATCCAATGAAATCCAATATAAGCAGTGACTGTCAGAGAGGCTGGCTCTGTGCAGGACAGATCGTCCCCCCGCTGCGCTCCAGCTCCTGACTCCACTTACACTCTGACTGAGTGGTTGATAGATTTATTTCTCTGAACCCCGCTCTCTAAGGCCATCGTCAGCTGACTGATGGACTGTGAGTGTGTTGAGAGGAAGCTGGCCTCTGTCTGCGTTACCCTTTAATTCAGATTTCCCTCCGTCACACGAGGCAGCTCAGTCATGCCTGTCTCAGCTGGATCAGTAACAAGGTTACAGAGGGAGAGGAGGAGGACGTGAGAGAAGGCACATGCATAGTGATTCAGTTAGGGGACACTCACACTCACCTGGACACACACACGCACTAATGTTTTACTGCTGGCTCAGTGTTCAACCAGGCCGTGATTGGCTGTAACTCCTGATTCTCCAAGTTATTTATATCTCTGTGTTTCTTTGTCAGTGTCAACAATTTTATAATGTTTTATTTAGGTAAAATTGCAGTACTGCAGTTACAATTGAAAGTTCTGGATTCAAAATTCTTCTTAAGTTGAACTTCACAAATAATGAAAAAAATGTCTGTACTCATTCTTAAGCCCACATTTGTTTGTCAGTGTTATGATTTATTCCACTATTAGATTATTTTCTTGAATGCGTGTAGGCTGCACTTATTTCTGGTATAGACCATTTTACAGATTTAAAAATATATATTTTTGTATTTGATATGCTCTCAATATTTATATGTTGACTACACCTGCCAAATAAATGAAGTAATGTTAGTATATCAAATATTCTTATCTGAAATATAGTGGAGTAGAAATACAAAGTAGCAAAGATAAAGAAAATAACTCTTGAGTTGTACTCAACTTGAGTAAATGTACTTAGTTACTTTCCAACATACATTTAGACTAACTCTTATTTCTGACCTTGAAGCCTCTATTGACATCGTTAAAGTGTGTATTCAACTAACTCAATTGACTTTGATTGTTGTGGAGGTTATAGTAATAGACTTTTTTTTCTAAGTGAACTTTTAAATTATATGGAGATGCATTGCCTGATAATTGTCCTCCATTCCCACACATCTGCCCTCTTTTCCCTCAGTGCTCTGCTAAAAACCTGAAGAACATTTCCGAGCTGTTCTACTACGCCCAGAAGGCTGTGCTCCACCCGACGGGACCCCTGTACTGCCCGGAGGAGAAGGAGGTGAGAGCCTTAAAGACTTTCTGAGATTAACATCCAGCAAAGGACAAACATGTAAATAGGTTGCGACTGTCTTTCAGTCCAATAGTAGCTCAATGTGCTCAACATGAATCCCATAATACACCAACGTTTCTGAGTTAATCTATAAACCCCAGCAAGCCAAAAGAATGAAGGAAAATGGAAATGTAAACGTGTGACTTGACTCACGGAAAACCCTGGCTTAATATTACATTACATAAACAATGATACACCTCCATGAGATTTTAAACTAGGGCTCAAAAGAGCCTTAATATTTGATGTGTCTACAGTATGGCAGATACCCTGAGATGAGTGTTTGTTGGTAAAAAAAGTTGTATTGGTGCATCCCCTAGCGTTAGCTGCCACTATGCTTACTGTTGATTTAAGTCTTTCTGTATAAGTACATATAACCACCTTCATAATTATATTTCTTCTTTATTACAGTTGAAGCCTTCCTGCATCAAGTCTTTAACTAGAATCTTTAAAGTGTCTGACCTGGACAACGACGGCATCCTCAATGACAATGAGCTCAACTTCTTCCAGGTAAGGGTTTCCACTTTAATAGTGGCACTGTCGACCAATTGTTCTTGAATAGATACAAAATGTGGCAGATTTAAAAATGAACCAAACATAAAAACACCATCAGCTTTCTCACGGCACACTGTGCTTGTTTTTGTTCAGAGAACGTGTTTCAATACACCGCTGGCGCCTCAGGCTTTAGAGGATGTGAAGAATGTTGTCAGGAGAAACATGACGGATGGAGTCAACGACGACGGACTTACACTCAAAGGTCAGAAACACCTCTATGGTTTTTGTTTCCTCCTATTTCCTCCATCGTCCAATGTATTACCTATTCTCCTTTATATCCCCTCAAAATCCCTTCTCCTTTTCTGATTATATTTGTAGATGTTTGCTTATGACATTTGCTTATTACTTTTTTCTGTCTTCTATATCAGGCTTCCTGTTCCTCCACACCCTCTTCATCCAGCGAGGCCGACACGAGACCACCTGGACGGTGCTGAGGCGGTTTGGATATGACGACGACCTGGAGCTCACACAGGAATACCTGTTCCCCATGTAAGGGCACATAAGGAACCTTGAACCTTGATTTAAAGACACAAGGGTTATTGGTAGCTTGGTAGTCTTTGTTTTGGGATCATCCCCCACAGACCAAGGAGATGTGGTTTATTTTTATTTTAAAACGTTCACAGTCTAAATATATTTAGTGTACAACATCAAAGACAATATTCAAGTTTCCCATTCAAACATTTTGAACCAAAGACTATTTGTAATTTTTGCTTGAAATTTGACTTGCAAACGGTAAATAAAAAAATAAATAGTTGCAGAATAATTGTAATGGTTGCAGCTCCAAAGATGCCGTAACAAAATATAATTTTACAAAATCCTTCCATGCCTAATAGCTCCAGATTGATCAGGGTCACATTATTGCAGCCCTGTTTCATTTATAATTTACGAAATGATACATGAAAGCCTTTTTATGTTATCATTCATCATTTTATGGATGTCGTGTTCCTCTGTTGAAATGACGTAATTTCTATCAGTCATTTCCTCTTGTTAACAGATTTGTTCTGGTTGAGTGCCTGGTATTTAAAGTGATATAGTCAGATTCTTTCTTCCTTTGTCACTTTTGAAAGTGATTGTTTCTGTGTGTCCCTGTATCGCAGGGTAAAGATCCCCCCGGACTGCACCACAGAGCTCAATCACAACGCTTACCTCTTCCTCCAGAGTGTCTTCGACAAACATGACAAAGTGAGTGATTAGCAATGAATCTACATACCTATTACTGTTATTTTTAAATAGTTAAATGCATGATACCGCTTATTTTGTTTTGTTATGTTCAAATGTATGTAACTATGTGCGCTTGGTACGACCCAGGACAGAGATTGTGCGCTGTCACCAGAGGAGGTGAAGGACTTGTTCAAAGTGTTTCCCTACATGCCCTGGGGCCCGGATGTCAACCACACGGTGGGCACTAACGAACAGGGATGGATCACATACCAGGGATACCTCTCCAGTGGACGTGAGTGTGGAACATAGCTATTAACACACATACATACATGCATACATACATGCATACATACATACATGCATACATACATACATACATACACACACACACGTGCCTATTTTAGTGTTATAATCCCGAAAGTATTCACAGTACGGTATGATATACTTAATTATGTATTATTACAGATAAAAGTACAACATAATGCATGTATAAATCTCTCATGCTCTTTGTGTTTCTGTGTTAGGTTGACAACATATCTCGATGTACAGCGTAGTTTGGAGTACTTGGGGTACCTTGGCTACTCTATCATCTATGAACAGGAGTCCCAAGCTGCTGCCATTACAGGTAACAGATATGTTTGCGTTTATGCCTACAAAATAAATGTATTACTTTTAATGTAGGTTGCCACTGATCATGCATGTTCTCACTTGTGAAAAATGTGCATTTCCTGTTCTTTCAGTAACACGTAACAAGCGCATCGATCTGCAGAAGAAACAGACTCAGCGCAGCGTCTTCCGTTGCAACGTCTTGGGCGCCCGAGGCAGCGGGAAGAGCGGCTTCCTGCAAGCTTTCCTGGGCAAGAACCTGCAGGTGAGGGGAAATCATAGCTTCAGATTATTTCAAACTCTCTTTTTAAAGGGATATTTTTCCCAGTGTGTCTTGCTGGAAGCACACTGAGTAAAATCATGTCCGTCCTCGGTAAAACAAACAATGTGCAATATATGAAACTTGATCAAGCTTGTAGAAGATGAAAGAAGACATTGTTCATCAGAAACAGGTTTATTACCAGGTAGGTTTACACGTGCGAGGAATTCGACTTGGTGTCGTGGTGGATACATAAAAGTAAAACAAGAATTAAAAACACAGTTAGAGAACTAGAAAAATATTAAAAAATAAAAAATATAGTCAAATATAACAGTATTTACATTGCAATGGAATAAGAAGGAATAAAAATCGTCAGTAATAAAAGGTATTGTTGTGCATTAATGTAATGCATAGAGTCTGCGTTGTGGCTGAGGTAAAGTGTCAGTAAAGTGAAATGTGAGCCAATGTTACAGTATTATTTACTCATATTACATAATTCATAGAAATTCCAAAACGGGTAGAATTGATTTATTATAAAAAATTAAGAGAATGCTAAAATAGTATTATGGTACATTTTAAGTTTTCAAATCACAGAGTTGGAGCAAACGGGCCAGATCGCAGGGAGCCCTCTTATAAACAGTGTTGATGGGTTCCTGCTATTAATGTGTTTGTTCCCCACCACAGACACAGAGGCGGATTAGAGAAGACCACAAATCCTTATACGCCATCAGCACGACCTACGTTTATGGTCAGGAAAAATACCTGCTGGTAAGAACTACCGACTCATCATCTGTTGTTTGGATTACTGTGATATAATCTGTATCGCGCCTGACTGTGCGTTAGTGTTAGCACCTTAATCCCTCTACCTGCACACTCAGTCTCTCTCTCTGTCTGCTCTACTAGCTCCATGAGGTGATGCCAGACTTCGACTTCCTGTCAGAGGCGGACCTTGCTTGTGATGTAGTCTGCCTGGTGTATGACGTCAACAACCCAGGCTCTTTTGAATACTGCGCCAAAGTGTACAAGGTATGTTCTAGAAGATGAAATGATGCACTGAGGCTCGTAAAGGCCGGCTGCACACGGTCCAGCGAGTAACATTTAACTATTCTGTTTGGCAGCAATACTTCATAGATAGTAAGACGCCCTGTGTGATGCTCGCCGCTAAGTCTGACCTGCACGAAGTACGGCAGCACTACAGCCTCTCACCGCACGAGTTCTGCCGCACACAAGCTCCACCCCCCCCAGCGTTCACATGCAGCACCATCGAGGCCCCCAGCAAAGACATCTACACCAGACTCACCACCATGGCCATGTATCCGTGAGTATTAAACCCTTTGTGATCTCACTTAGTTAACTATTTAAGCCTTATCCACCATGGCTATTATTTTTCCACTTTGACCTCTCTCCTGGTTGTTTGGATTATAAAGTGCCTGAGATATCAAAGGTTACATCATGGGAATATTATTGAAAGTTGACATGTATTTGCTGTGTTAAGTGTAAACTTGCTAAACCTTCCGGAGAAGTTAAAAAGCACCAAACACCGCAAATTAGATGCATATTCTGGGTCTCCTCATGCTGCCTTGTGAGATGGCTGCATGTGTGTGTGAAGGCCTGTAAGTCCCTGCCTGAAACTCTTTGAGGTCAATCCTTGACTTTACAGAACCAGTATCTAAACTTTTAAAGCTTCCTGATCAGAAGAGATTTCAGAGGAGATAATTGGAACATAATGAGACCTGGCTACTTAATCTCATTTGATCAAGCCATTAATCCTATTGTCTACACTTGAATGAAAGCATGGCCATTAGTTTGAGTAGTAATGCGATCTAATGATAGAAGGTAAATTCTGGATCAGACAGTGAACAGATTGTTCAGAAAGAAACTACTTAAAATGTCAACCCAGGCCAGGCTAAGGTGCTTACTAAATAGTATATATTACGTTTCATTGTATTATATGCAATGAATCAATGGTTTGCCATATATATATATATATATATAAAAAGCATTTATAATTACCACTTCTAACTAGAATCATAATATTCATCCTACCAACTGTTTATGAAGTTATGAGACCATGTTCCCTTCCTTTCTTTGTGGATTTCCTCTCCTTGTGTCTCTTGAGTTTATTCTCCTTTTAAGTTTAGACATGGCAAGTTCATTAAAATGTTTTCCTGTCAATACGTCTGACTGTCTATGAGTTGAGCAATAGAAGTTCAATGGCAGCAGTGCAGGCTGCAGCCCAGAAGTAAGTATTCTCTTGAATCTGGTTCTTTCATTTAGTTAAGTGGTTAAATACTAGTGGTTATCTACCTTGGCCTCCCCCTCCTCTGTGTGTTGTCTGGTACGTGTTGTCTTTCTGTTGTGGTGAATACACGCATCTTTGTGTGTCTCTCCACAGCCCGCCCGTCTGCGCTGCATGTGTGCCTGCAACAGGTGCTCCTATTGCCTGTGTCAGAACCTCCTCAAGTTGGAGCTGCTGCGCAGTATAAAGGCCCAGCTCTGCAGGGTCGTGTTCAACAGGTTCATACATGGGATAAGCTTTTGTATTCTAGCATAGCCTCATTCCTCCTCTCTGTGTGCCCCACCCTCGAGTCTGACCCCCCGGGTCGATCACAGGGTGGCTCCTTTTCCACCCAAGCTCTCTAACAATGGTGATGGGGACAGATCCTCTGTGGTCAGGTTTACACTGCATATCCACTTCAGGGACAAGGGAATATTAATGGGATTGAATGTGATCTTACTGATACCAAAAGCATGTGGTTTAGATCAATAGTGTACTCTTCCTTTCCTTTGTGAATCTTTTGATACTCTGGTGATTTCTTTTTGGGAAATACTCCTTTTGCTTTACGCTGGGTTGCCAAAAAGCTGCCGCTCGTTTGCATTAGTCTGCTTTTTTTTGCTTTTTTTTTTACAAACTGATGAGCAAAACAAATGTGAACAAAGTTTTTAATCAATTTATTGATTCATTAATTTAATATCAATTAAAAAAAGTTGTATATGTGTGTTCAACCTTCTAAATCAAGTAGGACTCCTCTTCCTACAGGAGTTGTATATTAGATGCTTTTCAGACAAATCAAAAGTGAGCTACGTTTTTATTGACTTTTTGGTTATATTCTTCAAACCCGATGGTCATGTGAGGTGTTTTGGTCTCTGCTGCAGCTCCAGCCAGCGCCCCCCCCCTCTGTACAGTTTGACAAAGCGAAGTGTGACCGCGCTGTGCCAGCTAACACACGGGCTGCTAGCCAGGGAGGTGACGTGTGTTGGAATCCGTGTGGAAAATGCATGAAGTGCAGTGCATGCTCAACCCTCTTACTAACCCACATACATGACACTAATCATTTTGATTTCATTCAGAGGAATAAACCATTTCAATGTTTTCATATCTCTGGATAGTTCTGAGTATATATAATGCTACAAACAACTGCAATACATCATATGTTGTTCAGCCAATCATTCATACAAAATATCAACTCTTAACATTGAAGGGTTAAAAACTGATATGAAGCCACATTTTTTAAATCGTTTTACTACTTCCTCCTGCAGTGGATATGCAAACTGTGAATCTTGACTAACAAGCATATTCTTTGCACAAAGGATGAAGAAAAACCAGCCATTCACTTCATTAAAACTAAAAACCTCATTGATGTCTGCATGATTATATGTGATTCATTTTCAATCACATACAGTTCTTCCTGTGTATTAATTCTCTTTGGAACCAACCCTTATCGTTAACCATTGAGTGCTTGATTCATTACCTAGTATGTATTCAGTCTCCCTTTGTCTATATTTCCATCATTAACACTGAAGTCTACTCCAACAGGAGACATTTTATTTTGAAAAGCAAAACTGTAATTTGACATATACACACATATGTACTTAAAATATAAACAGCTGTACTTGTTTCCTGTGGGTTTAGACTTCATAAATGTAACAGACTCAGTGTTTAAAATCTAAATGTGTTCCTTTGATGTTTAAATAGAATCTGTTGTACCAATCACCACCGTGTCATTTCATCCTGTTTTTTCCTGTCTTGTCTATTCTGTCTGTGTGTTTGTCCTTCCCCTCTATAGGAGTTCACAAACATGTTTTTGGCTGCCCTTCTTCCTCTTCCTCTTGCATGTGTTCACCCTCTGCTAATCAGTCTGCTGCTAAGTTGCATGGCTCACCTGTTCTCTACCTCTGTGGATAACCAAGGCATGCCTCGGTCCTTGGCAATATGTCTCACATCTATCAATCTCTACATCAGAGAGAGCTTGGTGTTTACTATAAGAAAGGGGGGGGGCACTGCAGAGTTTGTATGTTTGTTTACGGCAGAGGTGTTTTGCAGATTTTTGGGGTAATCGGTATTTTTTTCAGCCAATTATGGCATAGAATGCAGAGCTTGTGGTTGGGCGTTCATGGAACTGCATACTGTAACGTTGCACCCAGCACTAACCTTTGTCTTTTTAATCTCTGGGGGTTGTTAAACTATTAATAGCATGACACTTAATGGGCCTGGCAGTGCACAGTGCCACGAGCACATTGAATGCCTGAGGTGTTTTTCTAAAAAGTGCATTGGTCGACTGGGATAAATTATGCTTTGATTTTACATATCCTGACATTGTAATCTCGATTTAAAAAAAAAAAAGATTCTAAGGTCTACAAAATAACAAGCAATGTCAGGCAGCTTAAGAAAGGTGATTTTGTATTTAAAATACAACTTAATTTTGCTTTGCTAAAGTGGCATACAATGTTTGTAAAATATTTAGGGGCGAGCAAAAGAGTCAGAAAAAACACCAATCCACATGTTCTTTATTTAAAAGACATTAAATTACTTTTTTAAATGTTATTTATCTTACCCGATGACAATTAGATTAATGGCCGCCATGTGGTTTGTAAATGTGATGTGTTGGTAGCTTTATTTTGTGCCTTTGTGTGCGTTGTGTGCGTGGTGTGCGCCGCGGTGACATATGACGCGGTATATCATAGTTGAGCTTGTGGGCGGGGATCACAGTTCCTTTATTTTCAGGCGGGGTAGAGCTGGGTGATATGGATCGGATATCACTTTAGATGTGTTCATTTGATTTGTTCTCTATTTTAACAATACAGAACATGTAAATAATAAATTATGCACTTTCATACAAAAGTAGATAAGTCAGATAATTTCAATGTGAAAAGGCTTGACCAACTTTTCGGCTTACTTATAATATATATGATAATTAAATCCCACATGACATCAAGTATCACATGACAGTATTGTGTCTATTCAAGCTAATTTAATCATTAAATGTTAGAAAATAATCGACAATGGTTTTAGTATTTTAGACGTAATGGGTTCTCTGGTTCCAGTTTAAATGTGAATTTAAACTTTATTTTTATTTCTGAAATAAGCTCTAAACACAATTTATTACATTTTATAGACTAAATGAATAATGAATTGATCACAAAAGTAAATTATTGCTAATGAAATATTTGTTAGTTTCAGCCCAAGTCAATATTATTTTTGAATTGTCGCCCCACTCTACCCACTTCGTTGGAGCGTGTGTGTGTGTGTGTGTGTGTGTGCACGACCCCGGCCATGGTGTGACTTTGTGTGTGTGGGTGGCTGCTGGGCTGGGTGGAGGCTGCGGGGGCTTCCTGCTCAAAGGGAGGATTTAATTCAGATGCAGCAGGTTTCAACCATCTCCAACATGGAGGGTCCATCTTTATGGAGGCCTCTGCTGAACAACTAAATCCCCCAGAAAGGTAAAAGCAGAAATCACTTCCACAGTTAGATTTTGATGTGTCCTCGTGGATAAGTTTAACTATTTATCAACAAGGTCACTATTTTAACATTATTGCCAATGTTCATGTCCTGTAGCAAAAAGAGACATAATGGAGTCTTTATATGAATAGTTTTACATCTTGGGAATTATCTTATTGACTTCAGAGGAACAGTTCCAGTGAGGATCAATAACCTATCACTTTTATTTTTGGTGTTGAATATGAAGCTACTTCTGCGGCTGGTTAGCTTACTCATTTCCTGGAGGCTATGCTAAGCTAACAGGCATCTGTTAACAGGCTTAGCATACATAATATTTTACCGGAAGATACGTACTGAAGCCCTGGGAGACAAGTGAGAAAATACAAATGTTGATATTCAAAGTTGTGATATTTAAACCTAATTTTCTAAATAGGACTTAAGCATTCCTGTTTCATGAAGTGGTTCAGCCTCTTGTGGCCGACATGAGCATTACAACAACAAAAACACGAAGAAAAATGATCTTGACAAATGAATCTGCCCAAACCTTTTTGTTTTACCTACCGCAACTAAATACATTTTTTTCGCAAAATGACCGTGGCAAAAATGGTATAAATCCTGTTGTAAACAAAGAACAGAAAAAAGTTAAGATCCGACTTGCGTCTCTGGGGTTTCATAGATATTAGAGGTAAACTATTATCCAACTTTGTGCCAGAAGAATTATTTTCTGAATGTCCAACTATCCCTTTAAGTTAAGGTTTAAGGCTGGGCTAATTGAAGTTTTTTTCCCTTCACAACAGAGGGAGCACAGGTGACATGTTTTATGCTGGTTTATCTCCTGAGTGTGCAGTAGCTGTAGACCAGTGGTACTTTGTTGCTGTCTCCATTGCCTCATAGTAGTGATTGCTTTTTATCTTGCATACTCTAGTTCTCCAGTGCTTGTGTTTCTTGCCAGATCAGCTGGTGTTATATATTTATTTTCTGGTTTTCTGTGAGTGTGAACCAGAGCTGCTGCTTCTCATAGAGCAACACCTTTCCTTTGTCTTCTTCCTCAAAACTAAACCAACTGTCAAGAGAAAGCATGTGTTCCTGTTTTAAGCTGGTATCACATGGCACTGATATTCCTCATTTACCTGATTTAAGAAAATCCCCACTGTAGAGACGGGAAGAGGGCACATGACTTTCTCTAGTCAGTTGGCAACTCTTCCCTCTGCTGTTTTAACAATGGCGTCGTATTGTTTTAGATCAGGGGTGTCCAAACCTTTTTCACTGAGGGCCACATACAGAAAAATATACGAAGGGCTCGTCAGCAAGTTATAAGTCAGCAAAATCAATCCAATGTAGGTAAATTATTCTTGATACTGGAAAATGCTTTAAGAAACACAACAGCCTACATCACAGCTCTCCATAGGGTTTCATTTATTGTGTTGGCAGCTCATTCCTTAAAACAGAAGCTTCAGATTGCTTATAAAAAGAGGGAATATGAAGGGTAGATTTCAAGCTTGTTATGTAATTAATTATTGGGCTTTTTTTAATCAACTACGATTTGTGTGACATTTTTTCCAACTTTAATTGACAGAATTTATATGAAAAGTGGGCTATGTAATATATTTTTACATTTGTATTTTAAGAAGTACAATATCAATATTAATAAGCACAAGTTCATCTGTGGGCCATATTTCATTATACTTTTTTAAATAGGTGAGGGCCGATTCAAAATGGACCTAGTTTGGACACCCCTGTTTTAGATGCTGCTCCCTCTTTTCCTTGTTGCTTTCCCCCCTCACATGACCTGTCCCTCTCTCTCTCTCTCACAGGCACATGGCTCAGGCCGATCTGAAGAACTCCACCTTCTGGCTGAGAGCGAGTGTGGGGGCCACGGTGTTCGCGGTGCTGGGCTTCGCCATGTACAGAGCACTGCTCAAACAGCGGTGATGGGACAGCGTGACACTTCCTCCCCCCGGCCCCTTCTGGTGACTCTGCCCCCTCCCCTCCTACCTGAAAGACTCAAAAACACTGGCTGACTAACCCACCCTCAACTCCGCCTCATCCCCTTCCCACAATGCAACACAAGCAAGAAACAAATGAGCGAAATCATAGTTACATTTTATATGCATTAAAAAAAATGAAGTGTGGTGTAGTTTTTCTGTTTTAAAGTTGTGGGAAAAGGAGCAGGCGTACTTTTGAAATCATTCAATTTGTAAATGCTGACATGTTGCCTAGTATAGTCCGACTCTACTAATCACTGGATGTTTTCAGCTGATCCAGTCCTCTTTTTATTTCTCAGGTCAGTATTATTCATTAGTTAGATGGTTGGAGACCAGAGAGAGGCAGCCATATACAGCAACACCACAAAGGGACTTGAATCTGTTAATAAATATAGTGTATATGCAGCATTTTATGCATGTAGGACTTTTAGAATTGGACCCATAGACCGCACAACAAGCTCCTACAGGTGTTAGCGATGCATCTAACACTAGAGAGGTCATGATTGGCATGCACTTGTTTATTTTGTGTGTTTATTTTTAACCTGTTTCTTTGTTTTTCTTGTCTGTTTTGAGTGCACCGCATGAAACAGAGGGATTTACATTTTCCTTGTATTTTTGTATTTAGTTTTATCAAAGCAGTCCTTATGATGTATTGTTTTTTTCTGATTTTATTTTTCTGGTTTTCAAATAGAGCTTCGTCCCTCATGGTATATTTTTATGAAGTTAGAAGCACCATATATCAACAGATTATGCTATTAACAACAGCCATTCAGTGCACCTCTCCCACCTTTAAACTATTAAAAAGTGTTTATTCTCATTCTTCTCTTTTCCAGCATTTACAATAAAAAATGGTATGATCTGGCCCAGCCATGTAGGCGTGTTGTAAGGGTTAAATGACAGCAACATTTAAGAGCAATGAGGAAAATAAATTGGTTTTAAATATCTGTAATAAATGACATTTACACCCACTGAAGCCATGTTGTGCTTGTGTGTTCTTCCTGAGAGAATAAGTGGTTATTTCCAAACTAGATTTGTGAAATGAATGTAAGATCAGCTGTGTTTTGGAGACAGATACGACTTTTATGAAGCAGAATAGAGAAGTGAGTATGTGATGGCGCTGTGAACAATACTGCTCTCAGCATGCGTGAGGAGGAAGTCACACACACCACACACACACGCAGGTAGACAGTCATTTCACTGGCTAAAGTAGTTTAAAGTCAATCTACCGAGGGTTAACATGTCAGTAGATCAGACTAAATTATTGTTAGAAGGCTTCCTGCAGAAAAGAAAAGATACTATGGTAAGTTGAAAACTATCTTGTAATTAAATATGATTATATGTTTATCGTAAAGATGTAAAAAAATGCTACAGATTCACTTTTTTCTCTAGAAACTAAGATGGGTGACATATTGGTTCAGGCTTCAAAACACAACCCTGTTCTTTTATACACAGAAGAATGGCAGCGCTGTAAGTACACATTTACCTGCTGTAAATATCACACTGGTGAATAATATTCACACTACTACATTTCTTATACATTTCATGATGAGCACCTTCTATTCATAATGCCAAAACATACTCAAGTGAAGGATAGTTCCAGCACCAGTAGTTTTTCTATCTTTTCTGTAAACGATCACCCTGTTTTAAAAGTAATTTTTGCATTGCTCTCTTCACAGTCCCATTTGAGAGGCTATTACTACATTTACACAGTAAGTCTTCTACATCTTACCACTGTAATAATATGATACGATTATAATATAAGTAACCACTTTAATCTCTACCTAAATGTGTTTAGTCAAGTACTGAACAATTTAAGTTACTTGAATTTGAGTCGTATCATTTAAAGCTACTTTATGCTGTATAGATCCATTTGATATACTTGACAACTCTTTAGTCGTTAGGTACTTAATAATAATCCAAAAATGTATATTATTCCAAAAACAGTTTTAGTGCTTTGAGTAGATGTTGCTGCTAATATTTATGGGTTTTTTTAACTTGAGAAAAATGTTACTTATAATATACCCTAACTCTTTGTCAGAATATTTGATTCATCGATTGTTGTAAGGATATGGAGATCATTTCAACAAATATAAAAAGTGTTTTAAAAGATTTACTCTAGATTTAAGTAAAAGATTCAATTCTTCAACCACCGCTGTTGCTTTATTTGTATTGAGTTGTCCATAGAGGTATTTATTTATTTAATGTCTGTGATGATTTTGATTTAAATGTCCTTTATAATTAGCTTATTTTGCATTGTATCTTGATGCTTTAATTATTTTACCTAAAGTGTTTTGAATTGCCTTGTTGCTGAAATATGATATACATGTGAATTTGACTTGCCTAAGTCTCTCTCTGTCCACATCTCTGTCAGGTGCAGTCGGTGCGAGAAGTCCCGAGAGTTGCCGGTAATCGCATCATTTTTGAGATCATCATGACCAATGGAAAGAGGAAAGTGTTGGTGAGTCACCACTGTGGTCTGAACACAATCTCATAAATGTGCAGACCAGAAGTGTGGTAGGATGTTTCAGTGTGTGTGTGTGTGTGTGTGTGGTGTGTGTGTGTGTGTGTGTGTGTGTGTGTGTGTGTGTGTGTGTGTGTGTGTGTGTGTGTGTGTGTGTGTGTGTGTGTGTGTGTGTGTGTGTGGTGTGGCGTTGTGTGTGTGCGTGCGCGCGTGTGTGTGTGCGTGCGCGTGTGTGTGTGTGTGTAGGCAGCAGAGACAGCAGCCCTCAGAAAGGAGTGGGTGAGATGCCTCTGGCAGGCCATGCATCTTTCTACCCTCTGGTCTCTCAGACTCCAGAAGCCCAAAGTCAGTCAGAAGGATCCTTTCTACACTTGAACCAAAGTAATAAATGTTCCAACTACTTGGCCTTCTCACCTCTCCTCAGCCTGGAAGTGTGTGAGCAGCGAGAAGATTAAACACCAGCGCACCTATCTACTCAAACATTGACAGGTGGGATGGAGTCGCTGCCTGCTCGGCCCTTCTCTGCCCCCCCCCCCGACGGGCCAACATCCCACCATGACATCCTTGGAGCATCGCCACCCCAATCTGCCCATCAGATGGAGCTGAACCATGAGGAGGCCACGCAACAAAACACACCTCCAGCCTGTGGCTACCAGCAACACAATGGTTAACTTTCATTTGCACCTTCCAAGATGTCCTTTATCAGTTCTAGTCTTAAAGGCCAGGCTTTTCTTTGCTTCACTTTGGCATAAATTCCATAATACCTTTTTAACAAGTGGTATCGAATGCACTTATTGTAAGTCGCTTTGATAAAGCGTCAGCTAAATGCAATGTAATGTATCCCAGGTCAGGTATTTGAATTATAGCCTTCATCCTGCAGCTTCATCCTCTGTCCTTGACCCCTCCCACCAGAGGAGTATAGGCTTTAGCCACAATACCCTTGAAGATGATAGTCATTTATTTTCATCCCCGTCATTTCATCCTGAGGATGTTATGTAGCCGCAACTCTATGGGAATTACCATCATGTTTTCTCTGTAGACATGTAGGCCTGTAAAGCCCTTTGGAATGACATTACTATGATCTGATTCTCTAGCTAGCTACACTTTTGGAAAAGCATTTCAGATATGGAGAAAAAACCTTGCCCTTCTCTTCCTCTTATATACATATTGCTTATATTGCCAGACACATTTTTAAGCCTGTCTTCCCTTTTTTGGTTGTTTTGCAGTGTAGGAAGTTGTTGCCAATGTTGGTAAGGAGTAGAAACTGTGTCCTGCACATTAAGCTGCCTTTGGTATTTGTTAGAACAGCCAATAACAATGCCCTCCTTCTGAAATGGCCTGTGATTGGCCTCAGATTCCCATAAAGGCTAGACTTTCTATAGCCTGAAAACATTTTTTTAAAACATTACAACATGCTGAAAGGTTATAATGGATTTTTTTTGTCCAAATTACGTAAAAAAAAAAAGGTGCCTACCTGTCACTTCCAAATGAGTTGTGCTTTCAACCATGTGATTCTAACTCCTCTTGTCTGTTTTCAGTACCAGTGGGGTGAGCCAACACAGAGGGAAGACAAGAAGGAGACTATGACATTTTACCGCTTGGAAACAGTAGGTTCCTTATACTTTATTTATTATAAAATGATATACAGTATGCTGATGTTTTAAACGACATGACCCTATCATGGTGTCTTCCTAGGACCGTGTGGGAACGCGATGGAAGAGGGTGTGTATGACTTTCCTATGTCTTACAGGAGGGCTGCTGAACATCCGAGTGAGTACATTACTTTTTAAATGTCTGTTTCTTCCCCCCAGCGGCTAGCTAAGATATATAATTATATATTTGTTTGTGTGTTGGTGTTTCCCCCCATCCATTTTCAGACCCTGCAGAGAGCATCTATGACGTACCCAGCTCTCTGTTGAGGAGGAGGCCTGATCACACTTTAGGTAAATCAGCATGTGTTTTGTTCTCTCACTTATCATATATATCTTTTTTAATATGGCTTTTAATTTGGGTTAACTTTCAATTGTCACTAGTATCATTGTCCATGTTTTACTGCATTATTTTCTGTTTTGCTTTTATTTTACATTTTTTCTTTTTAAAATTGTTTTATTTTAACATATCACTGTAGATGTTTTATCTTGTTCTGTATTCATTTTAATATATATTTTAATATTGTTGTGTTTTCTGTAAAGCACTTTGGGCTGCTTTGTGCATTGAAAGGTGCTATACAAATAAAGTTTATATTATATTATTATTATTATATAAAAATAAACCAGCTTCCAAAATATACACAGAAATATATATGTAACAGAACAACAGGTTGCAACACAAATGTCCTCCTCTCTATGTTTCAAAGTTTTCCGTTGTTTTTTTTTTTGTCGTTGCAGAGGTGCAGCCGGAGGACGGAGACTACTGGAGGATATGAGGTCCAGCTGGAGGACACGATAGTCTGGAGCACTCTCTCCAAACCTGTGGACCAGACACAGAATACCAAGCTGCCTAATATCTGTAGCGACGCATTTACACAACAAACACACACACACACACACGCACACACGCACGCACACACACACACTGTATTTTATGCAACATGTTTGTCCACCTTAGTTACACTTTGGGATGCTAGACAAAATGCACAAACCACAAGTCGGGTTCGCTGTGGTATTTATTTCATCTCTTTTCTATACAAGACAGAGATTCATCTAGAACTATAATTAACACACTGTACAGAAATGTCAAACACACACGGTGGGTCACAACCATGGTTCACAATAGTGAAGTTACTCATTTACATGGTCACCACTTTCACAGTTTTAAAGTATACACCACCAGCTGTATTGCTGTTTTACACACTTGGACTGGTTTGAATGGGAATGGTTCCAAAAACCCCTTTATGGGGTTTAATGCAATATACAAAAAAGGAGGTACATGAGGAAGTGAACAATACAACTTAAACATGCCAACATTACTGCAAGCAATTGTATTATTCTTCTTTTACATTTAATGTATGTGTTCTGATTCTTTTTTACGGGTAATATTGGAGAAGCTTTGAAATGAAGTGATTGACTGGTCACATAGTGCCAGTTTAATCTCATTCATTCTACAGCTGGTGAATACTATAACAGCTACAGTGGGTAATGTATTTAGGAAAACATGTATTTCTATCTTTGTTATAAATCTACTGCTCCGACAGAAAAAAGAAGAAATATCTGCTATCTGTGGCCAGGACTATAATATTAATGTAAGGTAATAATCTTGACAGCTGTGAGGACTAACATTAGCCATGATTGCTATTTATATTCATTAAGATATGTTTATATTCATAATGATAATTGTTTTAAATGTATACAAATCTGGCGTACTCTTGCTGGCTTCTCAATATAACTTACACAAACTTTAAGATTTATCTCAAAGAAGTGAAAATGTACACTGTATTCAACAACACTTATTTTCTCAGCGTATGATTAAACATCTAATATCACTTGATAGACACACACACACCTACACATACAATAGCAGTACTTATCCAACAAGAACAATATTGTAGTGCAGGTATTAGGTTTGAATGTAAGCACAAATAAAGCCTTTGTAACAAGCAATGCATAAAGTGATTTGTGCATTCTCAATGTGTTTCTTCTCCAAAGGAAACAGGTACAATTAACAAAAATACACAATTGATATTTGGACAAGTAATGCATATATATAATTCCACTTGAATAAGTAGAAGCTTTTAGTTTGGATCAGTTTGTGTTGTGATCATTGTCAGTTAGCAAAACAGAGTAGTATTAATATTTGGTTCAAAGTATTGTTACACACACTAATAATTGCAAAAGGATAAGATTGGGAAAGTGCCACTCTATGCTTACAACTAAACTTCGCTGCACCCTGAGGGTCATTGTCATTTATTTTTTACTATAATCTCCAATTAGAATGAACCCTCTTTTGCACCAAAGTTAACACACTCGATAAACCATAATTAGCCCCAAAGAAAGAGGGAAGCTGGGTGTCACTTGTCAGTGTTTTACAGTAACATGGTATGGGTTCTCACCACTACTTTTCTAGCTGTGGAACATAATTTATCTAGCAAACCGATGTTTGACATTTGACGTGGTTTAGGTTTAGAACTGTACAGGTTTATTGTACAGACTGTCCGCCAGCAACCGGCCCAACAACTTGAAGTTAAATGTAGTGATGTAATCATGCGTGGGCCTGGGATTGATCCTTGAGGAACTCCTCCAGGACGGTGATGATGCTGCAGGCTTCAGGCATGTCGCTGTGCTCCGCCCTGGCGTTCTGCAGCAACACATCCCCATTTCCGCAGCCCTGTAGGAAACCGGCAGCTACGAAACAGGGCGTAGTGACTCATCTCTGCCTGTCGCACTAAACGCTTCAGGCTGTTCATGTCCTGGATGGCCTGCGATGTGCGAGTTGTGGTTAATAGAGAGGAGGAAACAAGTTGAATGAAAAGGGAAGCAATCTGGATGAAAAACTGGCAGCCGTGTAAATGAGATATTAAACTAAGTATCGGGCCAAGAGGAACTGAGAGCTGTTTCTCAATCTTGTTGACATGGGAAATGTTATGTTTATTTTATTGATATGTTTTGCAATACCAAAATAAATACAAATAACTTGAAGCATATAGAAGCATTTTACACTTTACTTATTATCATCCGGACTTTTTATTTCAACAAAAGACAGTTCCATCAGTATTTTAAAAGAGCTTTAGTCCCAAAATGTATACACAAAATACAAAATGTGTTATACCCAAATTCACATGGAGAACTTGATGCTAGGGTAATGAGTTTTAGGATACTGAAACCAGGATCCAGAAGCAAAACACACTATTAAGGTCTGTCTTTTTGAATGTTTTCTCACCTTAAGTTTGAAGTTCTCCAGAATCTGTCTGAGCAGGAAAGGATTACAACGCTCTGCAGCGTTTAGAAATGCCTGACTCCAGTCGTCACAGAAACGATTACTCACTGGGGGAGAAAACATAGAATACAACTCTTAGACAGTACAAAGATAAAACAATAATTGTTTCCTCATGAGGTTTGTGTCATGACTTACCAGCGTTAGAGAGAGTGGGGGGCTGGTGGAGCAGTCGATGATCAGGTCAGAGTGTGCTGTCCTCTGAGATAGGCCTTACACAGAGAAGCTGTTGTGGTGTCTTGTTGAGACAGACCCGGCAAACCGGTGCTTTGATGAACCTTGGTACAGAATACAGCAGATTTTTAACAGACATGGATATAGACGGCTATTAATCTGTACTACATGTGAAATCAACAAAAGGCCTGCTACTTTTTAGCATACATTAATCATTCATAAAGAGGTGTAACAAGAACCTGTCGTCTTACTCCACCTGGACACATCAGTCTTTGTCCCTCTCATCTGAATTATTGACCTCCACAAGTGTGTGACTCAGAGCCTGCAAACGAAACAATAATGAGTGAGAAGAAATTGTGGTAAAGGAAATGCACGTCTTAAACCAATCAATCATATTTGATTCATATAGCACCGATCAAATCTAAAATGCACCTACCAAGTAGCCTTACAAGCGATTTCCGAAACTTAAAAGATGTTAAACCTATTAAGAAGTTGATAACAAATAAACGCACAATACAATTCATTTATAATGATCAACAGTATAATGTAAATAAAGCTAAGTAGAGTATTACACCGCAATAAGGTGATAATAGAATAAGGATATATAATAAAACAAATAATATATGAAAACATGCAGGATTTGAATAGTGAAATGAATCACTGGAATTTTTTTTATGAACAGGGTAAATACCTTTATATTTACAGCAGTCTATAGTAAATATGTATTTTAAGGAACATCTGCCCGGTAAACACTACACACTCTTACTTGTTCCTCTATTCATCCAGATAATTGTGGTGCTTTTTACTGAGGCTTAGACCCTATTTGCTATGGTTAAACCAGTACTCATCAGACCTCATTGTTAAGTTTGTCGACATTCTATTGTTTCATTAAAAGAGAGAAACTGCTCACTCTATTGGACGTTCTCTAGAGGTAAAAATGACTCACAGCATGCAGCAGGAAGCTGATGTTGTTCTGAACGAGCTGCACCACCCGATGGATGTGCATCACAGACTCCTCGTACCACCGGCTCAGATAGGGGCGCACCTCCGACTCAAGGTTCAGCAGCTGACACAGACATAAACACATAGCGATAAGTCAGCAGTTCATTAATAATGTACCGGCAAATATATGACTTCCTTACGCTGTTATCATATTCTCATACCTCTGGGGTTTGCAGGCTGCTATGCAGGCCTTGGACGTATTTATCAAGCTCTAATCTAAATGTGTATTGGGTTAAGGAAGAGGAACTATTGGCAGTTTCTCTGTAAAAAGTTACAACAATGTGGAAGAAATACAACAATGTAGGAAAGCACAAAGATTATTCAAGCTGGAGGATGTATATGATTAAGGTTGATTTCATGAGACTGTGTGCAAAAGGATATAAATTCAGCCATTTTTCAGAGCCGCCCATAAAGCAGATGACATACTCCGTTTCCATCCGCATCGGGCTGTTCGGAGACCTCTCCTGCTCCCGAGGCAGCGAGTAGCAGCCCACCGCCTGCTCTGGGATACTGGGGGAGGGTAAATAATCAACACATTTCTGTTAACCAACATATGTCTGTCCACCTCTGAACCTTCATTTCCAAGTGAATGTATTTATTTATGTGATGGTATCTGTTAGAGCCAGTATTTTTCTTTTTATAAGAAATGCCACCATAATTGTGACGTCTGTAGTCAACACACTATAAAAGACTACAATTCCCACGGCGCCTGCGCTAAAGTGACAGTGATGGGCAACCTGCTAGAAAGACGCCTCGAGGAACAGTTTTTTAACCGTCCAATTACCCTTTAAGTTATGAAGTGATATAAGTATTATCAAGAAGAAACAATACTTAAGTT